TTGCGGGAACGGGGCTTGTGCCAGTCGAGCGCTGGTGCGTCTTGCAATGCGACAACTTACGAGGATGCATCGTATGACTTTAGTGACTTGCCGCAAGCTACGGTGGAGCCTGCAACCTGCAACCGACGATGTAGCAAGCAGAGGCACGCATTCCTGATGACGCGTCTCCTAGCTCGTCGTCCCACCGCAAATTCTGAATCGTCCCAAACTTTCATCCCAGAACTGCCCCTAAGCCCCAAACCATCCGAAATCCGAAGTACGCTAACACACGTTCTCGCGCTATATTCGCAAAGCTTAAAACGCCCACAAGGCCCAGCAAGTGGAGGAGTGGGTGAGCACCCACACTTTGGACAAATTGCCTGAGTCTCAGTGAAACCCTAAAGCAACTGAAGTTGCCGGGTGCAAAACCCAGATCCTAAACTCGATGGTCTAGATGCAGCGCCACAGCGAGAGAGAGACAGAGATGGAGAGAGAGAGAGAGAGGGATGGCAAACTTCGATGGCCCGCATGTCGTAGGTGCATTAGGCGGCAGGCGAGAAGCTCCTAAGGAGCTCCAAGATGGTCGAGAAATTTGCGATTTGTCACTTGCGAAAATCTGAGTTGCCATGCCACCAGTGTCTTCCGGGCAGTTGCTGGAACGACGTTCTCCGACATCGGCCTTTTCATCCCACTTCCTCGCGATTCAGTGCTCTGCACCGACAGTCCTTTGCTCGAAGGAAGATTCCCACATTGAGCTCAACTCTGGCAGCGGCCTCATCTGCAGATGCCGAGAGATCTACAGACATGGTTTTTGGCTCTTAACATGATACGATAGTGCTTGTGTTATGTACACGTGCACACACGCGGACACACACACACACACATATATATATATATATATATATATGTAGACATATGCATGTATTCATGCATATAGCAACCAAAGTAATTGCCTCTCAGAGCCGGATGTCATTGTTCTGCATCCAGCAGGGTAGTTAGTGAGATAGGGGGGGAAAAAAACAAAGGCCATTATGTGCACCGACGGTATGATGTGAGCTTGCAGTTTGCTTTGGTTGGTAGCTCCAATTGGCCTTAGTCGCCAAGTTATGTCATCTTGAGATCCTCGTCTTTTTGTGCTTCTGGTGATCCCAAGAAATGAGTGGGTGGCAATCCCAAAACCGCCATGATCTTCATATTTATTTTAAATGCCCTCCCCCCGGCAATAACGTAAATACCAGCTGTTGTTGAAAATGTTGAGTGTTTGATGAGGGGCAAGGCAGAAGAGAGATAGATGTCCGAGTGTGAGCCTCAGATATATCGAGACAGAAAACAGAAGGAGGTTTCTTGCAAACAAGTGACAGATCTGAAGTGGTAAGAGCACTGGCCAAAAAGAATGCTTGAGTTTCTATATCTCCATACTTCAATAGGTGCGCACCATAGGACGCCAGCTGCGACTCGTATTAACCTAGCAAAATTTCACAAATAAATGACTTCGCTTACATAGGTGCGTAGGTATATTGTATGTATATGTACCTGCGCTGTATTTCTGTACATTCTGTGCCTGTATGTCTGCATGTACACGTGCACGTTTGTACGTTTGTGGTGTATGTAAGTATGTTTTATGTCTATATATATATATATGTATGTATATATATATATATATATATATATGAAACCAATTGGTGGAGGGCGTGACCATATTTTTGTCCAGAAATATGTATGTATGTATGTATGTATGTATGTATGTAAGTATGTGTGTATGTATGTATACACATACGTGCATATCAACTTATTTA